GGGGGGGGGCGGAGGAAAGTGAGTAAGTATGGGACAGCAGGCATGCCAGAGAGGTGGGGACGACATATACGTGTGTATATGTGTGTGTGTGTGTGTGCACATCCTGCATGTAGGTGGCTCTCTGAAGGGGATGAAGGAGAGGGACAGGCACATAGCAGGAGACACATGGCGGGCCGAAAGCATACCTCTTCAGGATCTTGAAGTTAGTCGTCGAGGGGAAGACAATGTCTCCGATGTTGGGAACCGGCTCGGCCTCCTCCTCCTCCTCCTCCTTGGCACCCGAAGCGGCCTCAGTGGTGGCAGGAACGTCCTCGGTGACAGTGGCGTCCTCAGCGGGAGCATCCTCCGCAGGAGCATCCTCAGCAGGAACCGGGACCACCGGGGCAGCCGGGGCAATCGAGGGATCAGTAAAGGCCGGGAACTGCTTCAGCATGGCAGCACGGATGGTGCGCACAGCCGAAGACTTCGGCAATTGCTGCGAGGAGATGTCCTCGGAGGGATCAAACCTGATGACAAAGTGGAGGGGGGGGGGGGGGGGGAAAGACAGGGGGGCCGGCCCGGGGGGGGGGGGGGGGGGCGAGGGGATGGGGTTAGGAGGGAGGCAAATAGACAAGCAGGGGGAGCTCAGCGCGCGCAGGGGAGACTCACTTGCGGAACATGGTGGCAGAGGTGGACGGGAAAAGGGGGGAGGGAGTGACACTGGTGACGGCAGCAGTGAAAGAGGCGAGCGAGGCAGGGGAGGGGAGTTAGCACGGTCTCCGGGATCCGCGTCTGGGTAACCGGGCCAAAGAGCTGACATCCGACACTGGGCCATTCAATGCCGCGGGCAGGCCGGGGGTGACACGCCGGAAAAGGCGCCAAGTGCCAACCGAGCCTCGGGCGTGATTTCCCCGCGTGGTCGGGGCCGGACGTGCGGGCCATCCTCGGCGATTGCTCGATGCTTCGCCGGCGGTGCGTGGCGGGAGACGGGTGAGGGGAGGGTTGGAGCCCGATCGGCTGGCCCCCCGCTGGCCCCGGCTCTGGCCGTTGTCTCCAGGCCCAATCTCCGCTGATTCTCCTTTCTCCTCCTTTGTTGTTTCTGCGCCACTCCCCCCCCCCCCCCCCCCCCATCCCCCTGCACTCCTTCCAGCCCCTTCCCCATTGTGAAGCATGTCCAACCACAAGAAGAAGGCCCTCCGCGCGCTGAGCCGCGCCAACAAGGCCACCCAGGGCTCCGGCCCGAGCCAGGTCCGGGTGGGTGCGGCCGCTCCGTTGACTTCCAAGGCCATCGCCGCCGCTGCCGAGACCGCCGCCGCCGTCGAGGCCGAGGTCGCCCTCTCGTCCGTGGTCAAGGTATCTCCGGTGGTCCGGAACTCGACCGACCGCGAGCCTGGGGTCCTGCGCGTGATTGTCAGCTGCTACGAGCGGACGATCTTCGCCCTGGACGCCACCCTGCCGCTGCCGCTGCTGGACGAGCATGACCCCCTGCGCAAGAACAAATCCAATGCGCTGAATCCCACCCAGCAGATCGCCGACAGCATGGACGCCCAGATCCAGCGGATCCTCAGCAAGGGCAAGTCCGACACCATCAGCCGCGCCGACGGGACCACGGTCACCATGAAGCCGCGGTTTGTGACGGCCGCCCACGTCGGCAGTGTCCAGGCCCTGGCGGTCTCCCACAACTGGGTGGCTTCCGGCAGTGTGGACGAGATTGTCAAGTACGTGTGCTTTTGGGCAGGTGTCTCGCGCACTCCCCCTCGGATCTTCCCAGCCTGCCATTTTGCCTGGCCGTGTGGCCGTGTCTCCGCGCAAATGGATCTGACTCGTCTCCCCTCCCCCTTTCCCGCCCTCTCCCTGCCTCTCCTCTCGGTGTCGCCGTTTGGCAGGCTTTACCATGCCCGTCGGTGTGTGGAGCTTGGCTCGCTGCACAAGCACGAGGGCTCCATCACGGCGCTGGCCTTCTGTGGCGTCCGCGCGGAGCACCTCATCTCCGGTGGTGATGACGGGCAGATCATTCTCTGGCGCTCCAAGGACTGGCTCCCTCTCAAGGTTATGAAGGGCCACGCTCGGTGTGTTTTTATTTTCCATTTTTATTGAGTCCCCCCCCCCCCATCGCCTTTCCTCTGCTCCCCCGCTTTGCCCGTGTGCACTTCTTTGGGGTGCATGCTTGACACCACACCCCCCTCCTCCTCTCCTCTCCCTCCTGACCACCACTCGAATGCATCCCCCCCCCTCCCCGCTGTCTCTCCGTCTTGCAGTGGTGCCATCCGCGGTATCGCCGTCCATCCGTCCAATCAGCTTGCCATTTCGATTGGCCGTGACAACTCCTCCAAGTCTCGGATGGGTCACGGTGAGATCGGCAAGACCATCAGCAGCATGCGCCTGTGGGACTTGCAGATCGGCAAGTGTGCCTTCCGCAAGACTCTTCCCTTCGGTTCGTCCCGCGCCTCCCCTTCCCATCTCCCCGCGCGCTTCTCTTTTCCTTGCTCTCTCTCTCTCTCTCTCCCCCTCTCCCCCACCCATATCCATGCAGCCACTTACTCGCCTTATGTTGCTCTCGCCTTTAGATGCCATTTCCGTTCAGTGGTCCCCTGATGGGCTGCTTTATGCCGTTGTTTTCGACCGCCTGGTGCAGGTCACCTCCGTCACCGTGCGTTTCCATCCTCCCCAAGGAATAGCTCCTTCCTCCTTTCCCTCGCCACCGGGGCCGCTCACTGACACAGCCTTCCTGTCCACAGACCGGCAAGAACGTTTGCGTTTACACCCCGCCCTCGCGGAGCCATTGCGCCGCCTTCGTCCCCTGCCAGGACCTGGACACCCAAGAGGAGCGCTACATTCTGGCCGTTGGCCTGGAGAACGGGTCTCTTGTTTTGGTCAATGTTCATGACGGCCCGGTCAGCGCTCCTGAGGGGGGCGAGGATGAGGACGCGGATGCCAAGCCCTTTGCTGGGCACGTCCTGGCCACAATCGCTGCGCACACCAACCGGTACATCCCCCCGCTACACACATCTGCCAGGGCCTGCTTGTCCTTGGGGCTGCCCCCCCCCCCCCTGTCTTCCTCTCTCCGCCTCTTTCCCTCAATCTTGCTGTCGCTCTCTCTCTAACCACTTGTCTCTTGTCCATCCATCCGATTCTCTCGTCAGGATCAAGGACCTGGCTTGCCAGGATGGCTATCTGGCGACCACCTCTTCAGACGGGACCGTTTGTCTGTGGGATATGCATCCGCTCGTCAAGTGGGCGTCGGCCCCTGGGGTGGACCTGACTCTCGAAATCCAGGAGGCCAATCATCCCCAGTGTGTTGGTCGCTATCACTCTGGCATGCGCAACATTTGCATCCGCATGATCCGTGTTCAGTGAGCGGATGCTCTTGCCCGTCCCGATCCCATCATCGGAATGGAGTGCCCCTTCCTCCTTCTCTCTCTCTCTCTCTACCGCCATCCCCTCTGTCATCCCACTCTGTACTTGCGCACCCATGTTCATCTATCTGGCCCCACTCAATACAAAGGAGCATTGCTAAGACAGCTCACTCTCTATGTTCACGTACGCGCCAATGCATGTGCTTCCGGCCGGACATGTCAAGTGCACGCGTGTGTGCAAGTGCATTCCCCGATGTGCGTGTGTATAGGCGTGCGCACGCATGTGTGCATATGTGTGTGTGTGTGTGTGTGTATGTCCGCGCTCAGCTCGCGCATGTTTGATGTGAAGGGAAGCACAGGAGGCAGGGAAAAGAAGTCTATATTTGTATGGTGGTGCCTGTGCCCTGGCTCATCGGCCGAGGACACGGCACGCTGCTTGGCCTGCCCCTGGTTCCCCTTGTACTAGGGACGTGTGCATGTCATGGGGCATGTATGTCACATTCAAAAGCCCGTGAGCAGGTCGAACAAGTCGAACTCGCCATTTTGGTTACACACACCAACCGGATTCCGACACACCTTGCATACCGCCTGGAAGTAGGTGGACTCGCCGCTGGTAGCCACCGGGGTCTTCTTGTTGACGAGGATGTTGACTACCTTCGTCGCATGGAACTGATTCTTGTGCTCGGCATGCCTGTGCCCAGGGCCAACAAAATGCACAGGGAGGCGGAGGAAGGGGAGCCGGCAGGTGTGTCAGCATCACGGAGGGCAGCCTCGCCAGAGGATGGGGCGCGAAAGGGGCCAGCGGCCAGGCTGGAGAGGAGGGGGGAAGATTGTGACGCACTGCCGGCATTCATAAGTGAGCGTGGTGAAGCACCCTGGGCAGGAAAGTACCGCATCAGTTTGGGGGCGTCGCCGCTGCAGGCGGAGATCCTCGTCATCGCTCTCGACGAAGTCGCTCCTACCGCTGCCCTCGTCGCCAGCAGAACCCCTGGCCGGGGGTGTCCCGGAGGTGTCGCGCATTGCCCGAATCGACTCGGCCACCGGGTGGTGATGGTGCATGTACCGGTGCTGGACCCAGATCTCATCGTCGATGTCATGCTGCGGATCGTACAAAAGGTCGGCATCGGAGATGACCGGGCGCTGGCGCGGGGCGCGCTTTTTGTGTCCTACCCCATCTTCAATGGACTCCGCCTCACTGTCCATGTCCTCATCCGAGTCGAAGTAGAGCGGATCGTAAGTTGGCGGGCCGCCATCGGGCGGTGCGTTGGACTGGGGAGAGGACATCGGAGCGTTTGGCGCAGGAGGGAAGGGCTCGGCAGGGGCGGCGGGGGGGGGGAGGGGATCGGCGCCGGCGAAGCAGGGACTGGGGTGACACGCGGGGAGGCCGCGTGTCTACCGGCAAACTCCTCTCGCCCATTCGCGCGTGCTCTCT